CCCCAAAACCCCAAAACCCCAAAACCCCAAAACCCCGATGTATGTATATAAGAGCATTTTGTGTTAAATTTATAATAAATAAATCAAAATGAATAAAGCAGTCACAGTCGTAAATTCAATTAACCAAATGGCCTTCATGCCTCAATAACCCAAGAGGTCTAAGAAGCCTTCCTTTATCCCTCAGTCACAAATGATCTCCTAAGTTAACAGTCTCTACAACTCAAGAAACTTCGATCAAACTGGATTTACTGAGGCAGCAATTGGGATCTCAATGATGGATAAAACTTAGAATGATCAGAGCTTAGACAACATTGGCAAATTTTAAGTGAGGTTAAGATTGGACCAGACTGCAATAATGACAGATGACGAAAGAGCAGCCAGCAAAGAATCAGCAATGGATAGAGTGACTACTGAGGGTACAACAAACATTCCAGAAGACAAATAAGTGGTCAAGCACAAAGCTACTAAGATTAGTATCATCAAGAGAAAGTATGTCGAGGGCACTCCTATTAAGCTAGATTAAAGTGTATTCTAATAGTTTATTGCAAAAGCCAATAATCGTCAATCGAGAAAACCCCTTGTCCCAACCTTTAACACCAAGATGATTAACAGCAAGATGAGCTAGAAGAGTTACATTGAGCCATAGCCAGACAGGACATAGCTTGTACTCTCAAGAAACGTTAACTTATGCACCAGCTTGAGATAATCGTTCGATGATAAGGAAAATACCGTCATTCCAAACATTCCAAATCAACCTAGAACTGCATTGAATTTTGACAGTGCCACTATTCCTAAAATTAAAGAGGCTTTAACAGAGCAAATATTGATAAAATAAAGAGAAAGATAAGCTAAGTGCAAGATGGTAAAGGTATCTATGCTGTCTCTGGAACAAGCCTCATACATTAACAACTATGAAACTGTATTGCTAGACAGGTTGCAGAGTCCAGAGTATGAGGGCTAAACCTGCCATGTAATCTTTAAAAACCACCCAACTTTGACCTATGATCTCAGATCTAAGATTATAGATTGGATGTACAATGCAGTAATCAAATCTAAAGTTGACGACAAAAATGTGTTCTTTCTATCAGTTAAGCTTCTCGATCTCTATTATACAAATCACCCAATACAGCAAAACAAAGATACTTTGCAGTTAGTAGGTGCTACCACTATCTTCATGAGTGCCAAAATGCTAGAAGTTCAATTCCTTGATCTTGACTTTTGTGAATAGAGATTCCTTCATCATACTCACAGCAAGTCTGATGTTCTACGAGTCGAACAACAGATTGTGGAGTACTCTGACTGGAAGATTGTTGAAGACAGCCTGCTAGATTGTCATGCACTACTACTAGGAATGATCAAGACAAGATTCTAAAAAGACACTCTTAAACTCTCAAAATTCATCTTTCTCTTTATCAAAGACAAACTTGACGTACTTCTGCTTAATGAATTGATGGTATTGACTTGTCTTCCCAAATATCTTCACCTGAGTGATATAATAAAAGTGGCTGCCCTAATAGAATACAAGATTAGCAGCATCAGAGACAGAGTGAGAGTTAAGGACTTCACTTAAGTGACTTCTGACTACGATAAACTTTGCAAGGTCTGGGATCAAATTCTATCTCTTATAGCAGCTGCTAGCAATCGCAACTATTTCAGCAATCTAGGCTGCAAGATAAACTCAGAAATACAGTAACTACACTAGACTCATAAATTAAAACTAAAGCACATCCTTAACTATTGACATAATGCACAGCTTATAAATACTATAAAAGTAATATGCATAAACTAACTATAAGACTAGCAACTCATGAATAAATTAACTTGTAATATTTAATTTAACTAATATTAAATTTTTATTCTCAAATTTTATCATAAAATGGAGTCTACTTACAAAACGGAATTCAACTATGGAGAGATTTTAACGTAAACATATAATATTCTCAATAAGTATAGCTTATCTTTAATAATTTAGTAATGAGACGTTGAATCTTTAAGAGAATGAGCCTGATGAATTCGCAGAGTATATAAAGCAAACGAGGCAATTTGAAAAACTAGCTTTGACTGCCACTTCTGAGTAGTTTCCAGACATAGTCAACTTCTTAAAAGAGTGCAAATATCAAAGGAATCTAACTCACTCTGTTTATAAATGCCTTAAGTCAGCAATGCTTAAGAGGAACTTAGATCAAATTAGATTTTATTTGTACAGTATCTGCGTGGATTTGACTCAGCCAAATTTCAATGGTCTTTTGCATCAATTTATAGTGTAGTCTTGTACCTAGGAGAGAAATCACATGCTGTAAGGAAAGTACTACGAAGGCCTCAGTCTAGATGAATAGATTTTGGACTTATTCGTTAAGGGCGAGAACAGCTAATACAGCGATTATCTACTCAGGCTATAAGATGAGGGTTATGGCAACACACCACTTCATGTTGCTTGTGGATTATATAGTTATGTGTTTATAAGAAAACTGATAGATGCTGGTTCTGATCTCTCAATAAGGAATGCAGCAGACCTTACTCCAGAAGATATCATAGACGAGGAAATTAAAGCCTATAAGATATATTTAGACTCTTAAGAGAAATAAAACACCTTGGAAAGATTAAGTGTAGTCAAAAATCTATTTGCTGAGTATAAGGGAACTAATATTGACTAAGTAATGACTGAGAACATCATATAATAGAATTAAGAAGAAGAATCGAAAGGACAGCATTGATTGTTGTGTTTAATTAGCAATAAATTTATTAAGTAAGTCTTTGACTATCCTCGCTATTCCTTTAATTAACATTAAATTAGAGTCAAGCTCACTTTTTCTCATCATCTTCATTGTCATTAAAGAACTATGCTACACTATCCATATGATGGCCATGCTTTTCTGAAATCTTGAGGGCTTACTCCAGACTTTAAATTTCCTGTTCCAGGTCTTTATTCCTGTTAATTAGCTATCTAGCATCATTATCATATCTGTTGTCCACTCGCTTCATCAACTCTCTGAGATCATTCATCTAGTTGCCTAGTCTCGAGTTTCCATTCATCAGTTCTTGCTCCTTCTCCTAGAGTCTCTGTATCTCCGCATCTATCTCTTCCTCAGTTAGCATTCGGTTTTAAGCATTCATTTTAGGTTTAATTTTGACTTTTATATTTTGACTATTACGAGATTTAATTCTACTCTTGGGGTTTTGGGGTTTTGGGGAGCGTGCTGGGGAGTGTGGTTTCT